AATCCCAACGTGTCTTATGATTTATCAAATCATTATTATATTCACTATAGTGTAATTATTTGGTATGGTGTGGCAACAAACTGACAATCTCTTGCAGGAGGACCAACCTGGCTATGTTTAGCAAAGTTCATCATGTTAGCAGTAGGATGTTTACTTTTTAAACTACATCATCTCTCAAAAGGCAGAAGAGGGGCAACCTCCATGGAGTTTCCATGCTGATGCCATCCCAGTTCCTTAAAGTATTAAAACCCTAAAAGTACTCCATTCTAATTTTTTAAAGAAATTGTTGTATAAAAAGCATATTAGGGAAAAAAATACTGGCCTAAGAGTAAGGAGGCCTCGGTTCTTGTTCTAGCCTTGCCACTAATTAGGTGTACAGGCAAGAGTACACCTTAACATGTGATGCAAAGAATGGAATATAATTAATTAGATGGACAAAACTGAAGGTAATTTTTTCAATGATTTTTTAAGCATTAGCATTCTAAACTCTACTTAAACCAGTTGAGCTCATCCATGGAAAAAAGTGTCTAGATTATGATGTAAATCAAGAGCTAAGACAATTCGAAATATCATCAAATATCCACTATATTTGGTGTTTACATACTGAAGAGAGAGATCCCGGCTTTGTACCAGGACTGTTCTGTCATGTTTCTCCACAGGAGAAGGCTGTCATGATAAAGTTCATTATCAATTACTGCTTTACAAGTACAAGATGAGTTAAGCTGTCATAATTTTCTCAGCCAGAGATCCTATGCTGTCAAAGTGTCAATTTTTAATCTGACACAGGAAAGAAAATTATCTGTTCTTCTGACCTCTAATTTCTTGACATTTTAATGCCATAATTGCTGTGGTTAGTGCTGTTACCATGATTTCACCTGTCAAAGAAGAATGAATCAATAACCTTAGGCTGCTCTTCATGTTTTAGCATTTATTTCAAAGCTAAAAATTGTGTGTATGTTTTAACAAAAGAGACCAATTACATAGGTACAATACACACAAATTAGAAATACAGTCATTTTAGACCTAACCCCCAAAATGCTGTCTCCTTTAAGGTAGACAGTTCAGAATCATAAAATTATAACAGCTACTGAAAGTATGGTAGTCTGTTTACTAAAATATTATACTGACTGTGGTAACCTTAAATTAGAAATGTAAGGTTAATTTAAAAAGATACTATGAACAATTAAAATATGAGGGAAAATTAATTTCTTATTTTAAAAGGAAGTTAGAAAACTCAGAGAAGTATTTTAAAAGTTCTCATCTTGTTTTGGCATTCTGAGAGATCAATAAACTCCTCTACCTGCTGGTATACCAATGCGTAGTTCAAGAAACAGGAGCCTCCTGAAAAAGTTAATGTACTGTCCAGAGTTCCTATTAACTCCTGGGAATAACTGATATACTAGGAGGATCTAATTAGACACCAAATTAAAAATGCACTTTGTTATACTGCATTTGTTCTTGATATTGTACTTATGAAAAGAGTCTCTAAGTGATTTTTGGGAGGGAAACACATGTTATTTATTATTTCAACTTTACAGTAGGAACAATTGATGTAGAGAGAAATTAAGTGAGTTTACAAAGAAAACTAGCAGAAACAGGATTATATTATATATCTCTGCTCGAACAATGTAACCTTTATAGTCTTAAAAGTCTTACTTTACTAAATGCAAAATTATTTTGTGGAAATAAGGTGCTGGAGAGGCACATTAAGCCAGAAGGAACCATTTACTAAGTTAGAGTTACAGTGATCCTCTAGCGGTCTTAGGAGATAATATTTCCTTTTGAGAAATTTGATTTGACATTGTTATTTAGGGTCAAGGTGAACATCTCTGTGAGAACATTCCGAGACCTATATTGGCTTATTTGGGGAAAAAGAAATATGTGGGCATATTCTAAGTATGCCTTCCCAGATAACCTGATACTCTTGAACTAAGATAAAGGGAATTCTCTTAATAATGGAATAGTATTGCAAGTGATTTAGAGAGTTATATTTTTTATCTCCTGGGGTTTCCTAGAACAACTATAATCCCATTCTGAATAATCTGATGTTCATATTTGCACATGTTAAGAAAAAGGGGCAGGTAGAAACATCTCAGAATATGGCTATGTGAAGCATGCGCTACTATGTTTATCATAGTCAATATACAGAGCCAGTCATCCTGTTGAGTTATATGGAACAGACACCAAACAATAGTTACTAGAATGTCTTGGCTGTCTATATGATAAGCAAGATTTTTGGCTGGAAACTTCCACTCATGACAGTAGTCTGCTGATCTAAAAGGACTAATTTTATTAATTCTTTTTTTTTTTTTGGCTTTTTGGCAAGGCAGTCAGGGTTAAGTGACTTGCTCAGGGTCACACAGCTAGTAAGTGTCAAGTGTCTGAGGCTGGATTTGAACTCAGGTGTTCCAAGGCCAGAGCTCTATCCACTGTGTCACCTAGCTGCCCCCCCCCCCATAATTCTTTATTAGGCATCATATAGCTCAGATCATAGGTACACAGATTTTGATCTGGACAAGATTTTTGAGTTCAACTACCATAACTTGATCTTACATTTGAGGAGACAACCCCAGGGAGGCTATGGTACTTGCCCAAGGTGATTGGTGGGTGGGGATATAAGGACACTACTATTATCTATTCCTGTACAAATCAGTTTATTCTTTGCCACAATAATTACCTGCAAGTTTTGTAGATCCCATAGATATCACAATATCAAATAGGGTATCATGGGGAATAATGTATTGTGTACAGACTTCCATGTAAAGCGGTTTGTCTCTAACATGAATTTGCCCAGGGACAGGGAAGGGAAGAAGTGAGACAAGAGAGGGACTAGGGGCCCACAGAGAGAGGGGGCTGGCACATAGTTCAAGGATGTGTGGGGGCTGGGGACAGAGAAGGGAAAGCAGGAGGAGGAACATGTAAGGGTGGGGCCAATATAAGGACACAGGAGAGAAATGGCTCTTAGGGGTGAGGGACAGGCATATAGCACCCAACCACTGATGGGGGAAGGTTGGAAGACAGTCATGTGAGGCCAGACTTGGAGGTGGGTGGGTGGTTGCCTCAAGGTCTCCTCTCTTGGCTCCAGAGATCTCAAGCTACACCCCTGACAGGCAGCAGCCACAAGTCTGTCCTGCTTTCACTTGGAGGGTTTTTAGTTTGCTTTTTTGTTGGGGAGTGGGAGACTCGAGAAGCAGAGACGCAGAGAGAGATAGATAGAGAGACAGAGACAGAGACACAGAGAGAGAGAGACAGAGAGACACAGAGAGAACACTACTGTATAGCAAAGTTAACATAGATTTTTTTTTTAAAGAATGCAGATTTCTTTCAGAATTCTTTAGGTAAGACTGAATTTTTGTAATGTGAATTTACATAACATGAAAACTATCTGTATTAGCAATGTGACCCTGGACAAGTCTCTTAACCTCTAGGTAGCTCAGGAACATCTTAGACTGTAAGTTCCAGAATAACTGCTGATCTCCACTGATGGAGGGAGTTTGCTCACTGGAGCTCCCTACATGCCTATCACAGTTAGGGGATGAAGATACCAGAAATGGATTAATAAAAAACTGTACTACTACACTGTTCAGAGAAAGCCTGTTCTCTTTCTATATTATCTGTAACTTTATTTCTCTTGGGTGATTATGGAGGGTTTTTTTTTGGGGGAGATACTAGATCTTAAAAATATACTTCAAATAAAAGAATATTTTGATCTTAGTGTTAGAATAGAAACATAACATTTTCTTTCTTTTTTGTTTGTTGGAAACCAACTAAATGTCATATATAAGATCACAAATAGAATGAACATTCAAGTACAGAACAAGAACAACCTATACTATGCAGTGTATAACTTATAAGCTGAGGCTTTTATCTCTGAAAATCTGGTTACAGATCTGTGTACAACTGGGACACTAAGTCAGGTATGCTGGTAAACAAAGCAATTTCCTAATTCTTCATTGTTCAGTACTTGGTTTCTCATTTTTGCTTCAGGAAATAATTCTATTTCTTTATGAATGTAATTTTGTACACTATTGCCCCTAATTATATACTTACAATGCATTCTCTGAATATTTAGCTTAAGGGCCTAATACTTATAAGGCTTCTCCTACTTTTCTCTGTTCTCAGCTATTCAAAGTAAATTGATTTTTAAAAGAAAAAAATGTAAGAAATAACCTACATAGATGTAAATGTTCCTTTAGTGATTAATTTCCAAAAATCGACAATTTTTCCAGCTATGAGATTAAGAAACTACTCCACAGCCTTGCGGCATATTAGTGTTTTGCACACAGCAGATGGCGGCTGGCTCAGAGACTGGGAAACGGGAGCCCAGCGCTGTTGCAGCAGCACTTGTGAGGCAGCTGTTGCATCTTCACACTTTTCACCAATTAAAAAACCCTTTTATGTACAGTTGTAGCAATTTCAGCAATGTTTTACATCAATAATTTCCTTAAAAATACATACGAACATAATATGTGTATATAATTCCATTTTATAAACTGTAAATATTTTGTGATGAGAATGTATTGAAAAATAAAATATTTGTCAAGGAATTTTACCATTTTATTGAAACATTTTTCCTGCATTATTTGGTTAGAATGTTGGAATTTTACTTTTATATTTTAAAACCGCCCCACCATATTTTAATAGGAAATATTTATATTTAAGTGTTCACCTAAGTTTTGTGAATAAGTAACATATATATAATAAGTGCTTCATTCATCTTCTAGAACAGACTGGAAAATAAAAGAAAGTGAATACAGTATACTGAAATGTACCATCTGATGTATGTCAGAAATTCTGAGAGAACAACAGCATGCTGACCTCATTGCTTGTTTCTGACATCTAACATATTCATTTTTTTATATTTGTCAAGAGCCTGAAATTCAGTGCATATTTGTATAAAGCCACGCCATTGGGAAATTTACACTAAAAAAGAGGGTAAGTCAAATTCATGTTTTAGAGATGACAGAAAAATTTAGAATAATACAGTATTTAACACCTACCTCCCTAAGCACTGGATCAGTGATACTATCCAGGTTCACAGAGCCTTCATATGTTAGGTAGTGAAAAACATTCAGGGCACGGACTGCTTCTGGTCCTCGCTGTTTGTAGCCAAATATAAGGTCAATCCACTGATGGAGCTGGCAGGAGACAAACTCACTTTCTAGGGCCTGAAGTGAGGAAACAAAGAAATGAACAACTTCCAGATAATTTTTTTCTTATGAGTAGCTTAGGAACATTCTAAATATAAATCACTAGTTTGTAGTTTATATATTTCTAATCAGAACTTCTGGTAGCTGGGGAAAATAAACAAACACCAAGCATCTCAGTAGTAATCATCCATCTGTGGGAAGATTTTTTCTTATTTCTAAAGGTACTCTATCTAGTTTCATTTATTCATATGATTCAAGTAAATGCTATTTTGAGAAAACATTTTACTCTTTTGGTAAGGTCCAATATAATTTATGATATTTTAAAACAAAGATGCTTATGAGAGCCCATTTTTGTCTAAGAGACAGATAACCTGAAATACCAATTTTAATGCTATTTTTCATAACACATAATTGCTTATTTTTTCAGTATTAGTAATAGTTTAAATCAAAGTCACATTTTATAACTTCAGGATGCCTCTTTTCCTATTCATTTCTAAAGAATACAAACAATCTTGAATGTTGTTTTTATTCTCTAGTTATAAAAATGAATGTACTATTATTTTGCTGTAAGAAATGAAGGAAATGGTTTCAGAGAAACCTGGGAAGACTTGGGGGAACTGCTGTAGCATGAAGTGAACGGAATCAGGAAAATAATTTATATAAGGACAACAATGTGGTAAAGACAATAAAAAACAAGATTCCAGTATCTTCCTACTGCCTCTAGGATCAAATACAAAATTCTCTAGCCTTCAAAGCCCTTCCTAACTTAGCCTCACCCAACCTTTCCAGTTTCTTTCTACTTTGCTCTCCACCATGTGACAGTGGCCCCCTGGCTGTTCCACTACAAGACACTCCATCCCTTAGCTCCAGATATTTTCTATGGCTATCCTCCATGCTTGGAATGCTCTCCCTCCTAATTTCCACCTCCTGGTTTCCTAGGCTTCCTTTAAGTCTCAACTAAAATCTCAACTTTTACACGAAGTGTTTCTCAATTCCTCTTAATTCTAGTGCCTTTATCCTGTAATATAGCTTGTTTGTATACATTTGTTTGTCCATTAGATTGTGAGCTTTCTGAGGGCAGGGACAATATTTTACCTCTTTTTGTATCCTCAGTGCTTAGCACAGTGCCTGGAACATAGTAGGTGCTTGATAAATGTTTACTTGCTAAAGACAAACAACTTTAAAAAAAAATTAGGAACTCTTATCAGTGTCCTGATCAACCACAATTGCAGAGCTAATGATGAAACATGCTACCCACTTCCTGATATAGATGCCTCAGAGCACAGAATGAGACACACATATGTATGTAAACACACATGGATATGACCAATGTGGAAATTTCTTTTGCTTTTTTGTAACAGGCATTTTTTTGTTGTTGTTGTTGTTCTTGATGGGGCAGGGGTCGGTGTGGGTAGGGGGAAAGATAGGGTTGGGAAGGACATAAGGAAGAATTTTTCCTGACTGAAAAAATAAAATATGCTTTAAAATACTATTATACTTTCCCTGTTTATCTCTTTTTAATCATGTTTATTTTTACTGCTGCCTTTTCTGCTATACCTGCTTTTGTGAGGTCACCTAAAGCATAATAAAACTCTGTTTTAGTCTCTTACTTTAATTCTGTCTTGTTTAAGCAGCTGGCCTAGAATTATTAGTTTAAATTGCTAGAGTCAATGAATACTTCTTTTCTCAAATTTTATTTACTTATTCCTTCCTACTCTTTCCACCTATTTATTGGTCTAGTCTGCCTGCAGGAATAGGACAGAAATATTAGCAGTCCCCACTGGTTCCTTCACTGGAGCTGCTTAAAACCCTAAAAGGATACCACACTGAGGCCAACCCCTAGTGGTGTTAACCTCACCTTCCTGAACTCATTTGGTAGAGATTAACACACTCTCATCTGGTGATACGCTTCCCATTCTAGTGATCCAGAGCCTCCAGCTATCTTTATATGAAACCTCCATTCCCCTCTTATCCCCTCCTTTATTTCCATTCCCCTCAATTCAATCCTCCAAATGTCAAACTTTATCTACCCCTTTCACAGTGCTCTCTGGAGACCCTGCTCCATAGACAACAAACTTTTCATCTTAAAGCTTTTGCTTTCCCACTCCTTTTATCTTGTATTGCTTGTGGAGTGGCTTCCTCTTGATGACACAGGCTACCTGGCCACTCTCTCTGGCTGAACTTTCATTCATTCCTCTTCAGTTCACTGATTGAGCCAGTGGAGTCGGAAAACTCCTTGCTTCCCACTGCCACTTCCACTTTCACTACCATCGTCACTCAATTACTTTTCTGTCTTTGAGGTTCACTCAATCCATCTCTATCACTCAATCAAAATTTTGGTAGCTGTTGTCTACTGATCTCCAGAACACTTCCCTTCTTTCCTCAATGAGTTCAGTGCTTTCAATCTTTCCTTCCTCCCCAACTTCTGTTCTCATACTAGGGGACTCTAACATACATATTAAAATTCCTTCAAATACCTCATTTTTACTAGTTATTCAACTTACTTATTTCCCATGATCTTCCACTCCATCTCAGTTACACAAAAAGATGGTCATATCCTTGATCTTATTAACATCCACAAATGTTCCACTTTTGTGTTCAAGACCTCTGAAATTCTCTTGTCTGACCCTATCATCATTCTTCCTCTCTCTTGCAACCTCAAACACTTTTCTTCATCCACAAAATGACCATTAATACTTCAGCTCCTTAGTTCCTTCCCAGTTTATCACCCCATGCACTAGCTATACTCATCTTAACACTTGGTGAACCAGTTCAGCTCTACACTGTCCTCTTCTCTTGATTCCCTTCTTCCTTGACCCTTTATTATATCACTGATTTTCCCTGCCAAGCCCCAGAGTTGGTTTACTCCCATCATCTGCTGCCTTTGGTCCATTCAGGATGTGCTGCTGACTGAAGCTAGATAAAAATCACAAAACTATGCTGATTAGATCCACTACTAATTTATATTACATAATGGGTAAGATAATCCTTTTATACCTCCATAATTAATTCATTATCCCACTTACCACAGTGGTTCTTCCAAGCCTTTTCTTTTTTTTTTTTTGGCTAGGCAATGGGGTCACACAGCTAGTAAGGATCAAGTGTCTGAGGCTGGATTTAAACTCAGGTCCTCCTGACTCCAAGGCCAGAGCTCTATCCACTGTGCTACCTAGCTGACCCCAAACCTTTTCATCCCTTCTCTAATTTCCCACAGCTTTCCCTCCCTCCCTCTTCTCAGCTGAGAAACATACCTCACATTTTCTTGAAAAAACTGAGGCTATTTGCTGAGAACTTGCACTTCCATCCTCTTTCTCATCTCAAAGCACCTAGATGCCTTCTGCCATTTTCTCTTCTTTCACCACTTCACCCACATGAAGATATGGCTCTTTTTTTTTTTGCCAAGGCAAATCCCTCTACAGGCACAAGTGATCCCATTCCATTCCATGGTCTCTAACAAACTGCCAATTCTCTTGCTTATCTCTATTCTATTTCTCCCAGTCTACTGGCTGTTTCTCTACAAACAAGCCTATGTCTCTCCCATCTTCAAAAAACCTTCACTTGATCTTTCCATCCTTGTTAGCTACTGTCCCATCTCTCTCCTCCCTTTTGATGCTAAACTCTCTAAGAAGGCCGCCTGTGATAGGTACTTCCACTTCCTTTCCTCTTACTCTGTTCATAACTCTCTATAGTTTTCCTTCTTCATAATTCATCTCAAACTTCTCTCCAAACAATCCCTTAATTGCAAATCTAATGGCCTTTTCTCAATCATCATCTTTCTTGCCTTTTACACTCTTGATCACTCTTCCCTCTAGGTTCTCATCACATTCTTCTCTTTTGGTTCTTCATCTCACTACTGCTCAGTGTCTGTTGCTGGATCTTCATCCAGGTCATGCCTGCTAACTGTGGGTATCCAACAGGATTTTGTCTGGATCTTTCCCTTCATATTATATTTCACTTGGTGATCTCATCAGGTTTCATAAATTCAATTATCATCTTTATGTTGATTCTCAAATCTAATACGGTCCTAACCTCTCTCCTGATCTCTTGTCTTCCATATCCAACTGCCTATTGGATGTCTTCAATTGGACATCTCATAGACATCTGAAACTCAACATGTTCAAAACTAACTATCTTTCTCCCCAAAAAGTCTCTCTTCCAAACTTCCCTATTACTTTCAAGGGCACCAGCATCCTCCCTGTCAGCCTGGCTCATAACTTAGAGGTCATCCTGCACTTTTCACTCTCCCTCACCCCTTACCCCCACACAATCCAATCTGTTGCCAAGGCTCGTATGTTTACCTTCATAGTGTATCTCATATATGCTTCTTACACTGCTGCCATGCTGTTTCAGGCCCTCATTGCCTCACTGCTGGACTACTGCAATAATCTGCTGGTTGGTTCCCCTGACATAAGCCTATCTAATGCAGTCCATCCTCTACTCAGATGTCAAAGTATCTTCCCAAATCTCATGTCTTACTATGCCTCTCCCTATCCCTAACTCACTAAACTCCAGTGGCTCCCTATTACCTCAAGAATCATATATAAAATCCTTTGTTTGGAGTTCAAAGTCCTTGGCCCCCTCTCCGTTTCCAGTTTTTATACCCCTTCCCCCATGTACATTGTGATTTAGTTATAAGAGCTGTCTCCCATGCCTGGAATGTTTTTCTTCCTCATCTTTGCCTCTTGGCTTCCCCAGCTTCTTTCAAGTCCCAGCTAAATTCCACCTTCTATAGGAAGTCTTTCCGAATCTTCATTAATTCTATTGTTCTCCTTCTGTTGATTATTTCCAGCTGTTTACATGTTGTCTTCTCCACTAGACAATGAGCTTCTTGAGAGCAGGAACTGTCCTTTACCTTTCTTTGTATGCCCAGTGCTTAGCACAGTGTCTGGAACACAGTAGGTATTTAATAAATGTTTACTGACTGACTGACTTTGTCTTCTAATTCTAAAAGATCTGGGCAGTTTTCATATGTGAATTCTTAAAATATGCTATCTGGGTTTTTTGTTTGTTTGTTTTTC